CGTATTTTAGTGGTCCTAATACCTGCTCACTGGCCTGCCTCTCATGGGGGGTGTAGTTCGCAGTTTGCTAATGGCAAGGGCACTGAACAGCTGTTTATGTGCTCACTGCCATCCAGATCTCCTCTTGGGCAAGGTGTCTCTTTGGGTCTTTCGTCCATCCTATAACTGGACTGTCTGAGGTTTCTTGAGGATTGTGTTTCGAGTTCTTTGTATATTCTAGACATAAGGTGTACATCCTGTATGTGGTCTGCAAATATTTACCCCCATTCTGGAGCCTGCCCTTTCATCGGCTTACCTGGGCCTTAGAAGTGTACGTTTTTAGTGTTGATGAAGTCCACTTGAGTAATTTTTGGTGTCCTAGGAACTCCTCACCAAGCCCTAGGTCCAGAAGATGTCCTTTGATGTTTTCTTCTGAAAGTTTTATACTTTTACGTTGAATATTTTTTTATGTTTATTTTTTATTTTTATTTACTTACTTTTTATTTTTGACACAGAGCATGAGCGGGGGAGGTGCAGGTGCGGGGGACAGAGGGTCTGAAGCGGGCTCTGCGCTGACAGCACAGGGCCCCGCGCGGGGCTCAAACCCACGAACCTGACCTGATCGTGACCTGAGCTGGTCAGCTGCTCAACTGACTGGGCCACCCAGGCACCCCTATGTCATCTACTTAAATCCATGACCCATTTTGAACTATTTTTCACATTTGTGTGAGGCTGAAGGAAGTTTGTTTTTTCACTTACAATTCCCGTACTGTTTGCTGAAGATGATCCTTCCTCCACTGAGTTGCGTCAGCACCGTCGTCAAAATCAGCTGGAGGTAACTGCGTACACTTTGGCCTGGGTTCTCCTTTCTACCTGGTGATCTGTGATGTCTACTCGTCCCCCACTACGCAGTGTCTTGCTTAAGGCAGCAACGTAGTAACTCTCAACAGTAGGTAGTTATTCTGACTACTTCGTTCTCCTTTTCCAAAATCATTAAAAGAATCATTTTAGCTACTCTAGTTTCATTGCATTTCCATGTAAACTTTGCAGTAAGCCTGTTTGTACCTAACAAATAAAAAATCTTTACTGCTCTAAAGGAAAAACCTGTGAGCTGTCGTAACTACTGAAAATGAAATGATGTTATTAAATTTGTAGCTAGGGACAGTCGCTTAGGGACAAGCCAGGAGCCTGAGGCCTAAACACAACTACCAACACAAGGGCAGGAGCTGGACGTGTTGCGGGTGGAGAGCTCGACACGTACTTTCACCTGGATTTAAAAGAACAAGAAAACAAGAACCCTGCCGGGATTTTGACAGGCGCTGTATCGAACCTGCAGATCAGTTTGGGGAGAACGGACATCTTTAATGTTTAAAGCACCTCCATCAGCCTCGCTACCAACAACAGCTCTACTGCTGCCATGTTTCTTCTGTCCTCAGTCCCACTGCGTCCTTTCCCCGCCTCTTTAAAAGGGGAGGAGCTTGGGGCGCCTGGGCAGCTCAGTCGGTTGAGCATCCAACTTCGGCTCAGGTCATGATCTCGCGGTTTGTGGGTTCGAGCCCCGCGTCGGGCTCTGTGCCGACAGCTCAGAGCCTGGGGCCTGCTTCGGATTCTGTGTCTCCCTCTCTCTCTCTGCCCCTCCCCCATTCATGCTCTGTCTCTGTCTCAAAATAAACGTTAAAAAAAAAAAAAGAAGTTTCAAGTTGCTGTAATCTCAGTGATAAATCATGTTTTGGAATCTAAGTTTAAAAAGCTTATGGGGGAACCAGAACAGTGCATAAGTCTACTGGCACCGAGCTTAATGCTTGTTTTTACTACATCATGTTACTAGAAAATGTCTGTACTTTATGGGGTCAGTTTGTAAATCAATTTTACAGCCTTCCAGAGTCAATCTCTGGGCTTCTTATTTCCATGTCCCCATTCCTGTCTCTTTCATCTCATAATTAACATCTCTGAAAACAGGTAACGTAATGCCTTACGATGTGTTTTTAAAGTGTATTTCTAGTCGTTTCAAAGGGAGTTGCAATGTTCTTGACTGAAATCTCACAATGTGCTCAACACTCATATGTATGATTTCATGCTTCTTCTCATCCACTACTCTCCACTGCTCCTTTCTCCCGATGCATAAGCGAACACAAAATTTTCATATGAACATGTCTGTGCTGTCAGAAGACCAATAATGTATTTTATAGGTTTGGAAATAAACGTAGTTTGAAAGAGCACAAGGGGAAGGGCACCTGGATGCTTCGGTCAGTTAAGCATCTGACTCCTGACTTCGGCTTAGGTCATGATCTTACGGTTCGTGAGTTCAAGCCCCGCGTCGGGCTCTGCGATGGCAGCACGGAGGCTGCTTGGGATTCCCTCTCTCTCTACCCCTTCCCTGTTCTCACACACACTCTCTCTCAAAATAAATCCATAAACATTTTTAAAAAATAATAAGATACAAGAACACAAGGGAAAAAAAGTGTTTCCCTCCCCGAGCACATCCAGTCTCCACTGCTCCCTTTTTGTCTTCTCTAACTCCCTCTACTTGAAATTCAAAACTATAAAACATTCTGAAATCCAGCAAAACATGAAAGCTGATACACAGTTTACTGTAAAGTCAACTTACTTAACACACTGTTTTAATCAAACACTACATTACCTAAAAGTATCGGTAACTTGATGGCTCCCAAGATCTAAAGTCTACAGCATGGTGTTCAAACGTTTCCACAACAGGGATTGAAATCTCTCTTCCTGAACTCCACATGAGCTCTTTTCTTCAGCCGAGTCACCTACCAACACCTCTCTAGACCCGCCCTCTGCCCGCCTGTGTCCCTGTCTCCTTCATCCCTTGTTTCTAGAACGCCTTCCTCTCTGCCCACAGAAAGCCTTTTTATTCTGCCAAGTCCTACCAGTAAAGCATCCTCTTATGAGCAATAGGATGTTATATGAACAGCATAAATTCCGGCATCAGCCTGACTTCGATTTTAATCCAGCCTATGCTAATTACCGACTCATGTCTCTGAAGCTGGGTTTCCTCATCTGTAAAATGGAACATCCATTTTAGATGACACCCAAATCATAGATTTATTGTCAGAATTAGAATAATACAGGTAAAGTCTGTAACACATAGTGAGAGTTAAATAACCAGTGGAAAAAACCATTAAGAATGGTTTTCTTAATGAATGGTAATCTTAAGAATTAAGATTATTTGTTTCTCTGAGTTCACTGTAATTTGCTTGTATAACCCAACAAAGAGTTCGCAATCTGGGCTCACTCCATCTCTTAAACTTTTGCCCTAAGTGATTATTTAACTTTTATTACTTTAGTTCTTATTTATGTCTTGTGTTTTGTGTCCCCAAATGGACTGGAAGCCTTTTCCAAGTCAGGACCATATGCTACACTTACTTAAAATTTTATGCAGTTTAGCACAGTGCTATTTATAAAAGAAGACCTCAGGAATATTTCCTCAGTAAAGCATCTACTAAAATACAATCTGTCCAGAAAATGAGAGCCACATTTTAAGAGGTACGTTAACCTAGCAGAACACGTCCACTGAAAAGTAAAGGGAGAGAGAGGAGGGAGAAGGCACAAGGTGAGGGTGAGGGTACTATGTGCATGTCAGATAGTGGGAGACAGAATGTGTACATAAGCCTTGAGAACACAAAAACTACAGGTATTTAGATGTTTAGCCTAAAGAGAAGACGGCTTCAGAAGGCATGGTAACAAGATAAATTAGATTACTGTATGTGGTTCTACAGCAAAACTAGGACCAACGATTAGGAGAAAAAGAAATTCAGCTTAACATAAAGTAAAATTCTATGACATCGGAGCTGTCCAACAATGAAATGAATGGGATTCATTTAACGTTAGGTACCTCGTAAAATTACACGTATTTAACAGAGCTCAGGGTTGAAATGCTTCTCAATGTCAACGTCAGAAAGATAGTTGTCAGGTAGAATGCTGTGTTGAGAAGAACTCTAAGACTGCACATACAGTCAGTGGGAAAGGGTCTTATGATCAGTTAAGAGTATCTGTGTCACAGCCTGGAAGAAGGGCAGGTAACACAAATACCTCATATTTACTATCTCCAATCCAGAGGAATTATTTTCAAAAGTAATCATTCCTTATTGAGAATTTAGATATGAATTGGGTACAGTTTCACAAAACCCCATGAAACTAACATTCTTTAAATGTTCAATAAAATGATATTTTTAAAGTATTTTTAAATGAGTCCTCAGCTAGGACCGTGGGTTACTGTTTGAGCAAAGAAAGAAGCACTTTGGTTTCTCATCCTGTAATTCACTCGAGACCCTAATACCATCATAAAACACGTCATGTTTTACAATTTTCAAAGTATATTCATCCTTTTATTTTTAATAAAATTTGTGACTATCAAATATCAATAGGGAAAATCATATGAGTAGGCAAGAGCCCCAGTGAGATCTGATGAATAGAAAAGTTTTAATCAAAATGATCTTCCTTTGGGGTGCCTTGTGGCTCAGTCGGTTAAGTGTCCAACTCTTGATTTTGGCCCATGAACGATCTCACAGTTCGTGGGATCGGGCCCCACGATGGGCTCTGTGCTGATGGCACAGAGCCTGCTTGTGATTCTCTCTCCCTCTTGCTCTCTTTCTGTCCCTCCCAAGCTCACTCTGGCTCTCTCTCAAAAATAAATAAATAAACTTAAAAAACATTTTTTTTTATAAAAAATAAAAATAAAATGTGAGACTGCTCTTTAAGCTCTTCACATAAATTATTATGAGCTGTTCACAGAGAAAGAGACTTCTAACGTGTGTCAACAGGTCGAAGAAGAATCCTAAATGAAAAATCATTTGGTAAACAGGCCTATTTTTATCATTCCATCTTACACTGCATACAATCAAACACACATCTGTAGGGAAGACTTTAAATCAATCATTACACCTGTCAAATAGTTTACAAAGACAAAATTCCTCCGTGGCCATGAAAAGCACCACGTTCCTCTAAAAACGTCTGCTTCCACACTCACACAGCCCGCTGCTGCGTAAGGTCTTACCCACCTGTGTACGTAGTGCAGCTGATGAACGGAGTCGATTGCTATCACCATCTCAGCCAGGTAAAACCGAGCCATATCTTCAGGCAGTCTATCTTCAAATTTGCTGAGCAGAGTCAGCAAATCCCCACCAACATAATAATCCATCACCAGGTACTGGGAATGAGAAGAAAAAAAGTAATCAAATAATAAGGGTGAAAAATTAATATATGTAATAGAACCCAAGGTCAAACAGCACTGGGGTCAAATACCGTTGTTGTTAATTAACAAGAAGCTGTGTGAGATGATCATCACAAAGCCTGTATGCTTCCTGAGGCAAGAATATAAAGTTTTTAAAAATTGAGGCAGGGAACAACGAAGGATTACCATTGTTTTGTTGTTATACTTTGCCAAGTAACGACATCAAAAAGGAACATCAACATCATTGCCTATAACAGACCATAGTTTTATCAACGTTTCATAGAAGAATAAACATTTTAATTCACAAATGATTACAGTAATTCGAATGCAAGACAGCCATGTATGTTGAATAGATTCCTTTTATAACCATTATTACGTTTTCCTTCTTTTCTCTTGGACTGGTAGCAACTTTATTAAACCAGCACTGGACCAGCATTTGGAAAGCACTCTTATACAGGATATAATAATTTCCACGATGTACATACTCCTCTTATTTCTGATAGTGCAGAAGTATCCAAACGGACTCTTCTTAGGTCTATATAAACAGAAGCCAAGTAATTTTAGATATGGACTCCCACGAGTATGTGTATACGATACTGTGATTTATAGTAAGAAATACATACATTTGTTGGCACAAAGCTAGCTTTTGTTATTTACAAGAAACTCCTTTCAACCACACTAGTATTTATGTTGATGAGGTGACTTCTGCAAAGTCCTTAGGTAACCTAAGGACGGAGGCTGGTCGCCAGGGGAACCAAATGAGATTAGAAGGTTGGAAATTTCTAGGGAAGGGCCGAGGCTAAATCCATCCTTAATGGCTAATGACTTGATAGATCATGCCTATCTAAGGACGCTGTCCTAGAAACCCAAAAGGATGAGGTTTGGAGAGCTTCCAGGTCGGCCAACAAGTGGAGGTGCTGCGGGGCGGGGCGGGGGGGAGGCTCCACGCCTCCCTCACCGTACCCAGCCTTGTACACCTGCGTCACGGAGCTCCTCCTGAGTCCGGTGAGCTGCCCCAGCAGACCAGCCGTATCTGAGGATTAAGTCGTGACGATCTCCAACCTACCGTCTGTGAGTCAGAAGCACAAGTAGTAACCTGAACTTGTACCTAGGGGTGAGGAGGGAGTCTTGTAGGACTGGACCCCTTAGCCTATGGGATGTGACACTATCTCCAGGTGGACGGCATCAGAATGGAGTTAAACCACAGGATACTCTGCTGGTGTTGCAGAAACCCACACACCTCATGTCAGAAGCAAAGCAGTACTGAGAGAGTACTGGGGAACGTAAGTGAAAACAAGTCTTCCCTTATCATAGGTATACGCCAAAAATGAAAAGACGAGTAGACACCAAAATGTTCACAGGGATTAGCTCTGGGTTGTTAGATTACCCATGGTGTCATAGACATCTGGTATTTTCTTTCTTCTTTAAGTTTACTTATTTATTTTGAGAGAGAGAGAGAGAGAGAGAGGGAGTGCGAGCAGGGGAGGGGCAGAGAGACAGGAGGAGAGAGAATCCCAAGCAGGCTCTGTGCCACCAGCATGAAGCCCGACACAGAGCTCAATCCCATGAACCACGAGGTCATGACTTGAGCCGAAATCAAGTCAGATGCTTAACCGACTCAGCCACCAGGTGTCCCGCTTTTTGGTATTTTCTAGATCGCTTTATAAACACGTATATATGTGTGTGTATTATAGTACAGTATAGTATAGTAATTTTATCGTACCATAGCATATCATATCATATATATTTTTTAGGTTGAGTGAAAACAAGACAGAGAGTGAAAAGATGATCTTTGTAGTCAGAGAAACCTGTATTCAAATTCTGACTCTGGATTATCAATGACTTTTGAAAAATAAATTAATCTCTTTGACACTTTATTCTCTCATCTATGTTATCTATGATAACGACACCTTCTTCTGAGTGTAGCACTCAGCATGAAGGACAGTAAACAGAAGATTCTTAAATGTCACTTATAACACCTTCAAGTTAAAATGCTTTTATCACTGAGAGGCACCTGGGTGGCTCAGTTGGTTAAGCGTCCAACTCGTGATTTCAACTCAGGTCGTGATCTCACGGTCGTGAGATCAAACCCTGCTTTGGGCATGGAGCCTGCTTAATATTCTCTCTCCCCCTCTCCTTCTGTCCTCTCTCCTGCCTGTAGGAGCACATGCTTGCTTGGTCCCTCTCTCAATAAATAAATAAGTAAAATTATTTTATCGCCAAATAAAGATATTACTTCAGTGATATCACCAAGTTGACATTTAAGATTTAAAGAGTCTTGAGAAAATTCACATTCTCGTCACTATACATTAAAATGATAAGCATGGGCAATTTTTATTAAATAAAAGCAACCAACTTCATTTTTTAAATCCTTGAAAATCAGAGAAACAATGCATTTCAAATTCTGGTCTATGGTTTACTTGCTATATTTACTGGACCTAATGTTTAACAGACTCTATCATGAAGATTAGAACAAACTAATATAATGAAACTCTTGGCGTAAACATGTTGCTAGAAATGACGATGGCTTGGAGAAGAAACCCACATCTACTACTCTAAAGTTAAAGTACTTCGAGTAGCAAACACAAAAACTTTTCAAATAAAAAAGTCTGCTATTAAAACTGGAAACAAATACTTACACACAGAAAGTCGTAAAACATAACTCACCCCTTCAACAAACATTCACCAGGTGCCAATCAGGATTTTTCCATCCCAAACCTGGAGAAAACCCCAGAGGATAAAAAGGCAAAAAGGTTCCTACATCAAAGGCTTTCCTGCCTCGACAGTGCGCAGTAGCTGTTCTCACTACCCCAGGCTCCTCAGGCCCGAGCATAACCATCGACCAGAAAACTGCTGAGAAACATTCGTGTCAACATTTTTGCCACCCACGGTCACCTTCAAAGTCCAGGCTCCCTGTGCCAGCCTATCGCCTACTTTCACCCATAATCCGCTCTGTCCTTCCTCTTAATAAACCCCATGGATCCCTTTCCTTCAGCCTCTCCATGTGCCTTACTGGACCTCTTCTATGATAAAGACACCTCCTTGAGACGGCATACAAAATTATGAATACACAGGGGGCCTTGGTGGCTCAGATCGTGGAGCGTCCGGCTCTTGGTTTCGGTTCAGGTCGCGATCCCGGGGTTGTGGGGTCGAGCCTCGCATCAGGTTCCACGCTGAGCATGGCACCTGCTTGGGATTCTCTCGCTCTCTCAAGGAAAATTTTTTAAAAATTATAGTACCTAATTATTCCTAGTTTCCCTTTCCTGCGGCCTGCTAAACAGAGTTCTGGCTCTGTCTGCTCGTATACTCTTCCCCTACCTTGCCCTCAGAGGTCAATTCACTGTTTCTAAGACAGAATTCAGCAACTGGAGAGAGCAATGAGCAGAAAACACAAAAGAAAATTCGCAAGAGAAAAGCGATGAGTTGAAAATGAACTATGCTCGCAGTCGGGTTTTGGTATCAGGGAGACAAGATGCGTTAGAAACGGCCAATAAAAGCCTCACATAGGAAAAAAAGCTCCTTTTGTCCGTAACACATACCAGCAGATCTCTCCAAGGGCTGCCCAGTCGTTCTTTTACGTGTTCCCTTTTGTTCAGGACAACATTCAACTGAATCACCAAGGTCCTGCTGCATCTACTTCCTACTGAATCTCCATGGAGTCCATCCACTTCCAGCCCCACCCACTTCCCCAATCCCCATCCAGGCCCCTGGCCTGTCTTGATGACATTAAGCTTACAGGTTTAGGGACAAAGTAAACAGCTTTCTATTTGATATATTATTCTGTAAATGACTTTGTTGCGAACGGAAGACAGAATACAGAACAAGAGGGGAACACACAAGCTCATGCACAATTCCACAGCGAGGAAACACCCACTGGGTGCGCCCATCACAGCCCCCAACTGAGCCTCCACAGTGAGTAAGGGCTCCTGCCTTGACGGAATTTACAATCTAAAGTTGAAAAAAACACAAATCAGTGGGCAACTTCAGCATCATGCAAATACCGTGACAGAAATAAGTGGAGGGTATTGCTGTAGGCCCTTTAAGGAAAAGAACCTGACTTTGAATCCCGTTCATTCATTCATTTGTCTAAAATGTCTTTTTGTACAAGGTGTGAAAACTATTCTCTTCAAGAGTCAATTATCGAAAACAAGTAATTAAATATCCATTCTTTCTTGTAATTAGATTGAAACGTCTCCTTACCATAATTTAGGATGTGAAATACACTTGGATCTGCTCTTGGGCCTCTATCCTGCTAAGGTTGTCTATTAACATGTCAGTATCATATGGCTCTCAGTGAGTAATTAGTAAAGTTTAATATCTGATAGAACAACTTCCTACTCATAAACTATCTTTAAAATAGTACCCAATATGGCCAAGATGCCTTTAAACAAGTTTAAGAAAAATACAGACTGAGAGGTGATGCTCGTAAGATAGGTCAAGGAGATAATAATCCTAGCATAAAGGGCCCCCACCAGGGGTCAAGAAGAGGGCAAGCAATCCAGCAAAACTAGGCTGAGGCTATATTAACCACTAATTTGCCGAAGAGGAAGCACAATTAGCCAAATGACACACGGTCACAACCAGAGCAACAACGAAATCCATTTTGCACCAAGCAGGGAGTTGAAACGACACTGCTTTCTTGGGGTTGACACACTGCAACTCTTCGGGAAAGTAACTTCCTGTACTTACTGAAATGTAAAAGGTGCGTACCCCTGGGCCTGGTATTCCCACTTTTAGGAATACGGTCAATGAAAATAAGAACTCCAATATGTCGGGCATATGGACAAGTATATCTACCTCACGGCACTTTGATAACTGCAACAAGTCAGAAACAATACGAATAGTGACCAACAAGGAAACCATTAAACGGATCCATCCAACATGTCCATTCTGTGGAGCAGTATACAGTCGCCAAAAAGAATAATTAAATATATATGCCCATGGGATCACTGAAGGACAAGAGCAAGCTGCAGAGT